GAAATAATAAAAATAAAAACAATAAAATAAGGATAGACTAATTTACTTAGTGAACTTGGCTGTAATACCAAATAATGCGGAACCCCAAGACCTTTGCTTGAACTTTAGAACTCTTCAATCAGTTTAGAACATAATTTAGATCTCAAGTAAAAAGAAAACAAATTTGTTCAATCACTCAAATGGTAAAAGTTAAATAGAACCCAAAAAAGATAAATGATATTCCTTGAAATCAGAAGAGAAGGGTGTCGGCTAGGGTTTCTCTCTCACTGTGTATCTCTCAGGTAAGCTTGAATCTTGCTTTCTTTTTTAGATTTCTTGCTAAATAGTTGTGATTCAGACTAAGAAATCTTGATAAAGCTACTTGAACTAATTTCCTAATTGACACTAATTAGTACAGATTATATTTAGTAAAAGCTCTCTCTAAACCCTACTCTAGCTCTTTCGACATATACTGCTTGCAGGTGAACCGTTGAATTCAGATCTTGAGCAGGTGGATTACACTGTGAGAAAGTTGATGAGGAAGGAAACTTCTTTCAACCTATACCCGCTTCCTTTCTCTTTCTTCCGATAGCCTTCACGACTCATCTTCCCCTTTGCCTACTTGGTTCTTTATCACCCTTTAATAATCATCATCATCATTCTATCTCGACTGCAATTTCTGCATATAAGGAGAAGACGATGAAGAACAAAAAAAGCCAAACTTGCTCATTTTTGCACCAGTAAGAAAGATGTCTTTTGGGGTGTTTTCTATTTACTATGAAGTAAATATAACTTTTTGATGATTTTTCTTAGTATAGATTAAAATATTTATATTTGTTAGCATTGAGAAAAAATCGAAATTGAAATCTCTTTCTTTTTCTTTTTTTCTTTTTTTTACTAGAGGCAAAACTACAAAGAAAGTCAAAATTGGTATATCTAACATGAGGGAAAATCTTTAAGCTTATTGCAAAACAACGTCGTTTTGGTGTTCTTTTGATATTAGGCTTGGTTTATTTGGGATATCAAAATTAGTGTCTAGTTTTGGGCCAAACTAGGTGAATCTTAAGGTTTTGGATTTTGTTTTAATTTGGGACTGGACGGTTCAAGAAGAATAAAAATTTGAATAGGGTCATTTGCTTGGATTGGTTTTAGTTGAATTTGGGTTTTTAATTTTGGGGTTTAGTTAAATGGATTAAGCAAATGGTTTAAGAAGGGATGAAAATAGGGATTTAGTTGTTTCTTTTTCTCTTTTTTTTTTCTTCTCTTTTTCTTCATTTTTCTTTCTTTTCTCTTCATTTATTTTCCACTATTTTCCTTCTCTCTCTCTCTCTCTCTACACGTACAATAATAATAACAAAATATCATACTTTTAAATTTATAGAAACAAGACAATTATTTTTGGCCAAATAAAGTATTATAGTAAATAATCATGAGCGATAATATTTATTTTATGATCAAATAAGTTTAAAAAAATAAATAAATATTAAAACAAAAAATTTAGCAAGTAAAAAATTAGTAGCTATTTAAATTAATTATTAAGATATAAATGGATTCATTTACTGCTATAATTTTGTCACTAGAAATATAAATCTCTAAATAAATTTCTAGTTTTTTACTTACACAACTTTTACATATGTTATTAAATTATCTTTGTTACATATGTTATTAAATTATTTTTGTGGTAAACAAATTAGATGTAGATGTATGCCATTGGATCTAATTCGTCTCTCTAGACGAGTATAGTTGAATCTTAAATGTGTTAGAAATAGTTAAAGTTCAACTATGAAATTTACTTTTTTTTCTCTAAGTGATCGTAGTTAAATTTATAGTTGGTTTAACAAATTAGCTACAAATTCATGTATTGATAATGTATATTTTTACATAGTTGAACAAGTGTTTAAATTGTTTTTTTAGTAAAATTTTCTCATGTCGCCTCTATAGTCTTCAACATATGTATTCTTCTTCATTAATATATTTAAAGGACTAGTTAGTGATGATTTGAGGTTTTGAGTATGGATCTCGCAATTACTAACTCCCACATTTGCAACTTAGAGATTAAATAACAATTTTTTATGTATCTGGCTTGCTCTAGGTGAAAGGCTACAAAATTCATGCTTAGAAACAAATAAAGGAGATAAGAGCATGATAAAGATGGCCAAAATTCCTTTTTGATGACAATTGATAAAGGAAAGAATAAGACAATACCAAGAAACATGTCTAGTGCTTCTTATTAATAAGGAAACTCTTGGAGCCTTACTAATTAGAGATGCATTAAAAT